TAAATTATGTTTATGTATGATGCTAAATTGATGAGTGAAAATTAAAATACGAAGTAAAAATATGTCAGATGTCTGACTGTTGAGTCGTTGAGGTATCTACGTATGTCGTTTTAAAAATAAGTTTAATATGCATATAATATAATATACAATACACATAAAATATATGYCATGACATTATCACATATTATTCTTAGAAMATTTTTGATAATAGCTATTAAATGAAGATGCATTTTAGTCAATCTTTAGGTTATCTATTTTTAAGAATACATCAATAATCGACGTTTGTTTTTTTTTTGTGTTACGTAGGTCTTAAGATTTTTACTTAGCTGGAGACTCTCAGATTTAAAGCTGTTTTACAAACTTCCGCAATATATTTATACGATTAAATACGTATTTAATTCATCAGATAATTTTTTGACTCTATAAACGGATGTTCGATAATTATCATCCAATAATTATTTATGTGCAGTGGCAATGATATTATAGTGATGCTTAACTTTGCTGCGTCTATTGTTTTTTTTTTATTGATTAGACCGAACTGCTTATATGATAATCGGCCACTTAACTAAGRCATTTGAACGATTGTCGAAACAATAATATATTTGAAGACGATAAAGGTACGTGGAAGTAATGGCGATGTCAATAAAAATATCGTTCGCCCTGTTTAGCTATTGTTTTGCTTCATTCGTGAGGTTATCAACTTAAATTTATTGGTAAAACTTAGTGATTTGTTAAATGCATTACATAAGTGTAGGTAATTACCTATACTATTACACCAATAATATATATATATTAGTATTATTGTACAGCGAATCCTGTTTTAACGGACACCAGTGGCGCACGCAGGAGTAGGGTTCTAGGGTTCTGACCCCCCTTGAAATGACTTCCTTTTACAAGAAAAAAAATCTTATTTTCCACCATTTCAATACACAGAATCGATCAATCGTCGGTAATTTTTAATAGATGTAAAATAAATTTTTAATTTATTATTAATTATAATTTGTTATAATTATAACTGATAATATAAAAACTGATAAGCGAAAAATAATGTAAATTATTCACTTATGTAAAACCCTAACCGAACTAAACTATGAATGGGTCTGTATAGCGTCTACGTATATCAAAAACTTATCTCTAAGTGACACTTTTAATGATCCCCTGACTGTCCGTTATATACAGGTTTCACTATTTACAGAAACATTAAATTGGAAAATGAGTGTATAAGATTGTCGTAGTCAGTGTTTTTACGAACCTAAATATTAAGTTTAAACAATGAACATGAGAGGTGATCGCGCGGAGTTGTAATATCGATGTTTATAAAAATGTCGTTTATGCTATTATATTAATTATTATGCTTATTTAGCGAGATTATCAATTTAGATTTATAGGTACGAAGTCTACGAACTTAGCGATTCGTTAAATGTACTACCTATATAATATATAATATTATACCTAGCTGATTATAAGTATTATTRCGCAGTGAAATACGTATTAACGGAAACCTTAAGCGGACAATTATGTGATGATATCTCAGAAAAAATACAATAATTTCAATGTACAGCTTGATATATATCAATCGCCAGTGGCGTGGTGAGGGTGTAATCGAGAGGTGACGACCTCTTAATTTATTTAAAGGGTGCTGGGCCAGTAGGTGGGTGGGTAATAAGTTTCATAAGAATGTTGCTGTTCAAATTAACACTATTAAAATACAAAGAGAAAATAATCTTTCWAAAAATATTGTCTTATTTCGTGTTGTTTTGATTAATCTTATAATTATCTGTACGGTTTTAAAAATTTAGACAACGGATATACCATCATCGATAGTGCAAAATATGGTGAATAACTTGAAAAGCCTTTGTACAACTTTCTGATAAAATGAATTATTTTTTTCATTTAAATTGCACGTATTATTAACTGAGAAATCAATACACGCCTTCACTCATGCTAGCGAACCTATAGATTGATAATAAAATAATTCCATTCACATTAAAAACCACAATGATTGTGCACTATTCAAATCGTACAATATAATATATTATAAAGTAAGTACCAAACTAATAAAATGTGCTCTTGTATTTTATAAATCATTTGAAAAGTAAATCTATTACCTTCCAGCCATCTGAGTAAAAAGCAGTCGTCGTATTTTTCTTCCAATTTCAAGTCTGCAACGCTTCTCCGCAACTGAAACAGCGCAAATGTTTTACTATTGTTGCCGTTTATGATATTGTATTAATAATTGTATGTCATTCACAAAAATAAAAATTGGTTGGCTTCGACGTTACAATTTATTAATGTTTTGTAGAATATATTAACTATTAAGTATTATATATTTTAAGTACGTATTAGTGTGTACATCTTATCAATAATAAATGCATTCTTATTAGTTCATAAAATAAAAAAAATTGGTTTAATTGATTGACAACAATATATCTTTTGATATAATATTAACAATATAAATAGTTATATTATACATTGGCGTTGGGAATATTATTTTTAGTACATTTGAATTAAATTTCTGATCAAGACTTTCTCTGCCGGATTAACTAGGTACACAGTCACTAAACATTTGAAGAATCAAAGTGGTCGAATGATTTCTTRAACACAATTTAGTGGCACATGATTGATTCGTTAAATTTTWGTGAATTATTAAATAAATAATTTGTTTGGATGTACAATTTGGTGTTAGTTTCTGTAAAGATTAATAAAATATWATATTATAATGAWAGACAGGGTTAAATATGATGCGCTGTGTGTATGTGATATTGTAATCTATTTGCTGCAGCATGCAGATAAAGTAGTATGCCATAAATGTTTTGGGTAATGTATGTAGAACGACTGCACGAATGGATTTTTAATGTGTTTAATTTTTGCTATTTTATCAAT